TGATTGTAGCTGGTTAATGAGCTTCCCACCTAATCGTGATTGATTTAATTTACATGACATTTACCTCTCCGTTCAATCACTGGCATTGTGGGAACCATGGCAAAGCCCGCATACATATTGAACTTATACAGGGATCATTATTTCCCCAATTGATTGCCCGGGATTTAACACGTGTCATTTGCGTTTGTTGGCATACCACCGGGCTGTCATTGTTCACAGAGACCTCTTGGCTTTCCATACAAAGCCACCATCGATCTCAGCACGTGTACGGCCATTATGCATACGACCCAGTTGTCCAGGGCTGAGACCCAATGTCCATCATCCCACCGTGCTCTCACTGGCCTGCAGTCCCAGCCTCATCGATTTCCCATTACTGTGTCACCGTGGCGGCCTCTTTAAGCACACCTTCTGTGATGTACAGCCTCACACTGTGTGGTATTCAAAAGCCACAGCTTAAGGTACTAAAACAGACAGAGCAAAAGAAAGGCTGCAGTGACACCTAGTGGCTAACCCGGAGTAATGCATATGTTTGTTTTTTTCTTAAATGATAATTATCCGCACAGCCCAGCTGTAGTATATTTCATTTAAATAATAAACAGCTAACCACTCATGTCCAAACTCATGCTTAAAAAAATAATGAAGAATGAATGAATAATGAAGCCTCTTTGAAATTTGCCTGGGACTAAGAATCTTTGACAACACTGAGAAACAAAACCGATGCATGATTAAGCTGCCAAAATAATCTTTCACATAAAAACAGACCCATTAGCATATGTCAAGAGAGAAAAGCTGATGTGTGTTGAGTAGATTTAAGTGCATTACTTAAAAGCTGAATCACAAACGGCAACAAAGAGATTAAACAGTTATATCCCATACAAGAATATTGGGGACTTTTTTTTGAGTAAGACAAAATCAGCATACATTCACCGGTTCACAATCCCCTCTTTTATATTTTTAAAGTTTAGCTGCTAACCACCTGGACTCTCCTGTTTTGACAGGAGGCTAATTTGGCTACACATTCAGCTCCATCTCCAGAAAGCCTCTTTCCCTGTATTCATACACACTTCAACTTGTGCCCCTTGCTCTGCTTCAGAGATCTACTCCAAGCTGGAAGGCCACTCTTAGGAGAACCAGCAGCAGGCAGACAAGTGTTGGACTCAGTCACTAAGTCCACATTTGGTTTCCAGGCCAGCTGTACTTTGCTGGATGTCGTTCTGCTGCTCTTTCTCCAAATTTACCATTTTCAAGAACAATTTTCACAGACTGCATAGTTTTTCATGAGGTCAACTTGATTCCAGATTGCCAGTTTTATCTCCCCATTAGGGGAGATAATGGAGCTCAGGAAGTAGAACAGGTCATCTACTACTTGGAAGGTTGGTAATTCAATCCCTGACTGCTCCAGTCTCCATGCCAAAGCATCTGTGGGCAAGACACTGAATCCCAAGCTGCTTCTGATATAGTCATTGTAGACAGAATGTGTGTGAATGTTAGCTAAAATATGTTTATTACTGTACCATTATAGGTTTTCTGTATTACTGTAAGGTCTTTACCTTACACTAGAAAGTGCCTCAAGGAAAATGTTGTTTTGATTTGACACTATACAAATTGTCCTACAATCAGTTCAAGGAAGCACTGCATATCTTGATACTGGTACAGTTTAAAGTAGTACAAATTCTATCTAGATCAGTTTAAAACCAGACAAAATGACATGTCCATGTCAGATATAACTGTTGATGTTACCTGGTCCTCTCTTGTCCCAGCCACAGACCATGGTTCCCATACTAAGTCCCATGCCTTTGTACTGGTACACCATGTTAGCAAGCAACTTGGAGGCGGCTGCCACTGAGATGCGCTCCTTGTTGCGAAGCTCGTAGATGCGACACTGGCGGGCCAGCAGGCGCTCCCAGAAGCTACAGTCTGCAGCTCCTCCAGCCATAGTACCCAGTAGGTAGGGGTTGATCTCAATCACCTTCTTGACCGTCTGTGACGCGATGTAGGAGCCCGCTGTGGCTCGAGAGTCCACTGCAACGATAACTCCATGCTGGAACTGAGAGGGGAAACAGCAGTCAAAAAATGGGTCGGGTAGCCCACATTTCCACAAGTTCCTCACAAAACCATATGTTTAAAGTACTAGATATATAGACTGATATCAGTACATTGATTAAGAAAAGACACAAAGATGGCATTTACCGATGTCAGTGATCGATCGATCTGTTGGGTTAAACAGTTAAAATCAACTGGAACTGGCTCGCAGCCAAATTGTCATTTTAAACATTAGCAGTGGCCCAGAACTTTGCAATCAGTGCCACTCTCTCTTAAACAGCTACACTACTTACCAGTGCATAATACATTTTAATGCCCTCCCTTACATCCACTGCTTTTAACAGAATAGAGTCACTTGCTCTAAATTTAAGTAAGAGATCGCTTGCAGCAGTTCTGCCTAAATGAGGCAAAAAAAAAAAAAAAGAGCTGCTGCTCTACAGCTGTCAGAGAGGTGCAATATACGGTTCGGCTCTAGCAGAAAGCTGCTGGATAAGAGGAAAGACTTTTGCTCTTCCTTCCAAAATCCTCTATCAGCGAACTGACAGTCACAGAAGCAAGTATAGTAGACAACAGATTTGGCCAGTCAGAGGGAGATGTCTGTGGGGGATGTTTTCATTAAGGGATTAAGGGATAAGGATGGCGTTATTTTTATCTTTTACTTGTATCAACAAATCCCCTGAAGAGACAAAAGCCATCAGCAGGGTTCTGTATTTACACTGCTCCACAGCGTTTGACAAACTGAGGGAGAAGACTACAATGGCTGTTTTCAATTGTGATGACAAATCAACAGCAAGGCTCTTTCATGCCGTTTTAAATGTTTTCAATCGGGGGTTTCTACGGCACAGAGGCAGAATGTATTTATGCATCGCCAATTGTACATGCCAGTTTATAAGCCTGTCAATGGAATCTTGGTGGTTTTTTAGGGAAGGATTGTTAATTACAAATAAGTGTATCCTCAGAGACACTGCTTAAATCTTTACAGCACAAAAAAACAACAGCAAGCCTTAAACTTTCTAGAAATCAAGATTTATTTTTCCCCCTTTTAGATTTTCTACTTTGATGTACAACATCAAAAAGAACATTTCCACTTTCTAGAGATTTCTTGGCTTCTTTTCGTGAGCATGCAAGTTTGTTTTTATTGTGCGCACCACAGTCACGACTAATCGAATACACGTCTTCTTCCATCAAAACTTCATGTGTGTTTTAACAATAACATTTAGAAAAGCAGGTATGGAGAACTCACAGTTGAAAAGAAGACTCACAGAAAGTGTGACTTTAATTCATTCAACACATTATACATGTATACATCTGAATACAATTAACAGGAATCTTATTAAAGGACCTTTGTGCTTTTCTCCTTCCTACTGCAACGTCACTGAACATAGTAATGACATAATAATGAAAGATCATCACATTTTAACCTCTAACATGATGTGATGTTCCTCGGAGCAAAATATATAAAACGATACTCGAGATAAGTGAGAAATGGTCTCTCCGTGTACTTTCCCCAACACCTGGGGCTGCTTCTGTTGTTTACAACACGCTACACAGTGTCTAAAAGTTGGGGTTCAAGTTGAAGAGGTGGTAGGCGATTAGTTTGTGAGGAACGCACTATTTTCATCCATTTTGCCTTTTCAGTATATAACTGAGCATATTTCAAGTATATAAAAGGCACGAGTTTATTTTAAAACCCTTAAAAATGTATACTATCAGCCAAAATATCCTGTGTCGGTTAGGCTCTCCTATGGATGAAATACATTTACATACTCAGCACAAATCACTTTGGAAATAACACACGTTTAGGTAGCTCTTTTAAGTTGTAACCATCAAAAAGTGTGTACTTGCTGCACTTTTTACGGAAGAACACGTCAGATTTCCTACTATATAAATTCACGTGACTATGTTATTAAAACACCCACATTTTTGCTTTTAAATTGACTGAGAAACGTCAACGTAAGCCTACGTAATTCACGATTTGTCTTAATACTATACATAGTAAACATATTAGAGAGATTACTTGTTTACGTTTACTTAAGTGCGCATCACCTATCTCGTGTACCATGCACATCTGTCATGAGAAAGCGATTTGTAGCCACGCTAGCATGCTAACATCAGAGACAATTTATACCGGAAACCCTAGCGTATGATATGTAAAGTCAAAATTTATCAAACGTCTAGTTTAGACAGGTATACAACTGCTACTGGGGTTTCTTATACCATATAGCTACAATAACTGGACCGTTAACTTACTTTGAATGCTAAGGTGGTGGTTCCATGCAGAAACTCTATTTTCCTTTCGACGCCATCATCGTCTCCGACACACAGCGGGTTTTTAACGGAAAAACTGAGGCTGTCCTCGGGCGTGCCTTCTAACCCCAGACCTCTTGGTCCGGGTCCGCCACCAAAAGCAAAGGACTGGCTACTATCAAACGAAAAATCCGCAGAATCACCGCTCAACACACTAGCAAGGGCCATCTTTGAAAATGTATGATGAACAAGCAACATCCGCCGCGGTAGTTTTTTTTATTCTGTCACGGTAACAAAATCAAACAGCGCCCCCTGTGTCTGTGGCGGTGTATTGGTTAAAAAAAAGTGTGAGGTAAAGGAAATACCTTTTATTCCACAGCTATTATTATTATCATTATTATTATTATCCATCCATCCATTCACTTCCGCTTATCCTTTTCAGGGTCGCGGGGGGCGCTGGAGCCTATCCCAGCTGTCATAGGGCAAGAGGCAGGGTACACCCTGGACAGGCCGCCAGTCTGTCGCAGGGCTAACACACAGAGACAGACAACCATTTGCACTCACATTCACTCCCACATTCACACCTATGGGCAATTTGGATTAAGCAATTAACCTATCCCCACAAACTGCATGTCTTTGGACAGTGGGAGGAAGCCGGAGTGCCTGGAGGGAACCCACGCAAACACAGGGAGAACATGCAGATGGTGGAATCGAACTCAGGACCTTCTTGCTGTACGGCAACAGCGCTAACCTCAAGCCACTGTGCTTGCCCATTAGTAGCTTAGGAGGTAGAGCAGCTCACCCACTGATCAGAAGGTTGGTGGTTTGTTCCCAGGCTCCTCCAGTCTGCATGTCAAGAATCCTTGGGCAAGATACTAACCCCAAGTTACTCTCCGATCCATCCATCAGAGTGTAAATGTGTGTGATTATTATTAAATTTACTTTTCAATGATAAATATAACATCATAATTTCCTCCCACACATAAATGTTTTTGATTATTGAGTATTATTTGAGTTTGTCATTCTTTTTCTTTCCCTTCTTTTCTTTATCTCTGTAATATTCTTCTTTCAAGTCCTCTCTCTTTCTCTGGCTCCATCCTTGTGCTGTGATGTGGAAAAGGTCCACATTGTTCCCCGAGTAGGCATCCCTGTGAGTGGCCCTGAACACTGCTTCTCTTGCCAATGAGATGGCTTCTCCTTTACTCAGGCTCCACCTCAGCTCTCTGTCCAAGACTCCATAAGCATAAGGTGAGCCTGAGCCCACAGAGAAGACATCTCCCTGCAGTCGGGCTCCGTCACTGCACACATATATAAGCTTTGGACCGCTGTTTGGAGAAGTTGTTGCAGTAATGTTTTGGTTACTAAAAACAGCCAAGGAGCTATCATCAGTCATCCAGGGTGAGTCTTCCAAACTTGTTGCACAGTCAACGGCACCCTCTTGCTTATCCCAACCACACAGTGTAAGAGCAACACACATTTCAGTACCTTTAAAAGGATGGAGCATAGATGAAAGGAGCTTAGCTGTGGCACGTATTGAAAGGCGATGTCCATGCCGTAACTGGTACAGTCTGATCTCTCTAATCAGAATTCTCTCCCACAGCATGCAATCTGCACCACTACCAGAAGATGTGACCACTAGATGAGAGTGAATAGGGGTGATCTTATGAACAGCCGGACAGGCAACAAGACCCCCGGCACTGGCACGTGTGTCTGCTGCTGCTATTACCCCACCTTGGAAGATGAAACCCAGGGTTGTTGTTCCATGAGCCAAACGGAAAGGCTTCTGGACTGTCATTGAATTTTTGGGTGGGCAGAAGGATGACAACGGTGTGTTGATGAAAGAGGAGGAATGTGGAAGAGGTGGTATAAAAAAATGCAGTGGAACTCCACAGTTGTTTTCAGATGTTTCCAGTCTTGAGCATCTTAGGTTGTAACAGTCACTCGTAGGAAATGGAATTGCTGCGTCCCCCAGAGATGAAAAAGAAAACCATTTATGTTGCACCGGCCTTTCTTTGAAGCTGCAAACATCTTCCAAAGCCATGATGGTGTAGACACAGATACTTGATCACAAAATCAGAACATCTTTTCTGTTGAAAAGTAAACAAAAGTTGTTCTCAAACACAGTCTATCCACTGAAAAGCTGATCAAACACAATCTTAAGTGTCAAAGAAACAGATCTGGTTTGTAGAGGGCGGATGCTGCTACTCTTTCTCATCTGCTTCTGAGTTCTTGCGCTTTTATAGCTCGTGCAGGTGTGACAGCGGGTAGAAAAACACACACATATACACACGCCGTGTACCATATCCAAAACCATTTATGGTTTATGTAAGTGATATTTTAGCCTACATGCTGTGAACCTGATATCCGCAGAAGCCACTTTCTGCAAGTCCTACAAGTGGAGTTCAGTAAGGACAAGCAAAGCAAGCGGTGCTGCCTAGTTGAATCTATAAATAGAAATCAATCAAAACGTACCAAAGTGAAAGTGATCTTTTGCCTTTCATCTCAAACAGCATTCTGTCATAAAACTTTGTTGCTTGTTTTCATCCATCTTTTAGAACATTGTCATCGGTAGGCTGCAACTGGCTATTGTACTTTCCACAAAGCACGCCTGCCTGGATCCCAATGGAAACTGTAGGTGTTTCCGTTTAACATATGTCAGTGTCAGAGACTTGCACCGTTTTCTCGTTGTGTTCGAATGTGAAAACACAACCAGAATTGGCAAATAGAGGAGCTTCTGTGATATATCATCATAACAGACAAGTTTTTATCTGACTGACCACCTTGGCCAGCAGCAACTACAGACATACTTTTAAAGAATATCACAAATTACTGATGATTAAATAAAGCATGCCATTTTTAAAATGATCTGAGGATAAAACATCTTCAGCAGTAATGTTATTTCACATAACACTGAATTTTCTGCTGAAAAAATATTTTTTAATTTTAGTTATTTATGAACAAATTGCCAAATAAACCAATTTTATGAGTAGGGAAGTGTTTTTGTGGTGTTTTATTGCTTCTTAATGAGTGGGTCTAAAAAAGTCTCTATCTAAATAATTTCTGGTCAATGTTTGCTTAACTATACAATAGTTAACAATGTGTGCAGAAGCAAGACGTCCATGTACTGTAGAGTGCAGCGAGCTGCGGGAGGCTGTCAGCACATTTAAAAGAGTAACAGACAGGCAGCACAAAACAATACGTTTTCATCTGTATATTAAAAAAATAAAATAACATAGCATAAAATTAAATATAATAAAAAATAAAAAATTGTCCCCATTATCAGCTAGTAGTAAATAATTTTTTGTATTTGTACAGTGGAGGAAGGGCTTGCCGGGTTTTTATTTCTCAAATCTGGTTTCTGGTTTTTATTTTCTCTATCAAAGTACAGCAACCTGTTCGTCTTGGAAAAAGAAGTCGCCGTGAAACATCAAATGGCAACGTTTAAACAACGCTCGGTGCACAATTATCGCGACAATGTACGCGATATGCAACTTGTGCACTCATTAGCCATCTTGGTTCTGTCTCACGTTTGTTAGCCAGCAAGCATTGCAATCTTTAGGAGCCAAGATGGCGCCAGTTTCTTCTAAAGGCAGAGCAATGTGAAAGTCCGAGAAATCAATTCATTCAGTCGGCTAAAGTCATGGCGTCTGCCAGCACAGGGAGCAGGGTGTCCTGCGGGAGAGATTTGAATTGTGTGCCAGAGATAGCCGACACGTTATCCGCGGTCGCCAAACTTGGGTAAGATGGTTTTTCGATTCTACGTGTAATTTTTGTTTAGCTGAAATGAGCAGAACGCGCTGCTTTGCTAGCACGTTCTCAGTGCATGATGGTTGCTAAGCTAGCCGGTGAATTACCAGCACGTGCCCGAATCACAATGATGCTTGACACTGTAGTGAAGTGTGCAGTACACAGGCTTTGCCTACTCCCATAGTATATTTGAGCTATGTGGAGGATTACTTAGAAAACAAGTTTGTGTTTTACTTCGTGCTGATATTATAAATATTTTGAATGTTAACTGAAGTGCTTCCCTCCTCTGGTATCCAGGTTCGACTTCCTGTGCATGCCTCTCTTCCACCCGAGGTTCAGGAGGGAATATGAGCTGGAGCCCGCTAAATCCCGACCTGGAGCCCAGACCCGGTCGGACCTGCTGTTATGTGGCAGAGGTCAGTTTTCCTGCCCCTTTGTCTTTTGCAGCCTGAGGCATTACTAGCTATTAAATCATCAGTCCCCCTAAAGTGAGAGGAAACACTGAGTGTGTTATTCTGTGCAGGGTATTTTTGGGCATGGTGGGGTCTACTGGTGCCCTTTATTTATTGGGAGGGGGGGTCAAGGTCACTTTAAATTCTATTTAACTGTAATATTAAATAAATTTAAGCATAGTCAGTTTTTACAGTCCTAAAAGTGGAAATTAACTTCTTATTAGGTCTGTTAAACCAAAAACACTGCAACCTTTACAATTCTCAGTAAATTACTTTTTATTCATAGAACATAAATTTATCAAAGTTTGACAACATACGTTTGTGTAAGTGTGTCATGGCATAAATGAGATTTTAGAAAGATTCAGGAAGGAACTGCTGATGTTCATCGGGATGGAAAGGGTTACAGAATCTGAACAACGTGTTGTTCATAGCAGGGCACCAAAAAGAGAGCAGCTACTCTGCAAAAAGAATACTGAGCATTTGAACAATCTTATGTGGGCTTCTGAGACCAAAATAGAACTTGCTAGTTTAAGTTTAAAAGACTGTTTGGAGTAAGGAAAACACCGCATTAAAGCATAAAAGCGTGGTGGTATTATCATGGTCAGGGCCTGTTTTGCTGCATCTGAAGCAGGGGAGTTTGCCAAAAATTAATGGAGCAATGAAGTCTTTATGTCAGGACATCTGTCTGCAAACTAAATCTCATCAGAAAGTAGGTAGGTTGTGCTGAAAGACCAATCCTAAAAATACCATTTGTTCTGCTAAAGCCCAGCCTAAGAAGGAAAGTAGATGTTAAGACACTAATTCTAATCATTTTCATATTTTGTATTAAATACTCATCATCAAAAGAATGTGATTTTAGTATAAAGGTAAAGTGGTTAGGTGTTTGATGCTTTCTCTAAACCGTCCTTTTGTTCTGTCTAGATTGGAATACTCTAATCGTTGGGAAGCTCTCTCCATGGATCGATGCAGATTCAGAAATCGAGACAGAACGCAGAAACTCAGAGGCTGTAAGTTCTTTGAGTTTGATGGTGCTTGTGAGGGTTCTTTGATCTTGAGATATGAGTGAGGTTATCGTGTAATGCTTATCTTATCTGTTTTCCCATGTTCCTCTCCAGGCTCTTGCTCAGGAGCTAAACTTCTCCGCCTACCTGGGCCTGCCTGTCTTCATGATCCCTCTGAAGGGCCTCAGTAATGCCAATCTAGCCCGAGTGCTGCTAAATCACATCCACATTGGACATCACACCTCAAATGTAAGACGCAGCACATCAGGAATCAACAAGTCAAGACAGTGGAAGTGCTCATTTAACTGCTGCTGTCCTCTTTTTTTGATTAGTTCTGGATACGCGTCCCACTGATGGCGTCAGAGGACATGCGGGAAGATCTGACTGAGAATGAACCGATCTCTTGTACTGATGACACAAGCGTTGATGAGAAGACTTGGAGCTGGTTAGTTTCATGCCACGGCACTTCCTGAGCAACTGAGTGCCGTCTGCATGCTGAAACGGTTACTATTGATTTCCTTTAAAACACTGTCTTTCTTTGTTTACTTACCTCATTTTTTTTTTTCATAGGTGGAACTCATTCAGAACCCTTTGTGACTACAACAAGAGGATCTGTCTTGGTGAGAGAACACACTGTGAAGCAGCAACCTTTGGGCATTGAGAAATAATTATGCTCCTGTCTGTTACTGAGATTGTGCTTCGTTTGTATTCCTAAAGCGGTTGAAATTGGACCAGATATGCCATCAGACACTGTGATTGATAAATGGCTCGGAGAACCTATCAAAGCAGCCATTCTCCCCACCAGCATCTTCCTAACCAATAAGAAGGGCTTCCCTGTTTTGTCGAAAGCCCATCAGAGAATAATCTTTCGACTCTTCAAGGTATAAAATAACATTCATAGATTGAGTTCTGTTAAAATCAAACAATCTGCAATCAAATACAAAAAGGTTGTTTTTTTTGTTTTTGTTTTTTTGTCTAGTTTTGAAAAATAAATCTTTAAATTAAAATGATCGTCTTTTTTAGTTGGAGGCCCAGTTCATCTTCACAGGCACCAGTCGGCACACTGACAAGGACTTCCGATCCTACCTGCAGTACCTGGAGTACCTCAACCAGAACAGGCCTGCACCCAATGCCTACGAGCTCTTTGCTAAGGGTTATGAAGACTACCTGCAGTCACCTCTACAGGTGAGGAAGTACCCTTTCATGCTCACGTTTGTATGCCTCTGTGCAACCTGAAGCCATAGCTAGATGTATAGTTATGTCTGGTTGGATCACTGAAGGAACATCAGATTAGATTTTGATGGTCAAATGCAATGACCTTGCAAACTATACATTTTAAGTCAAGAATTAATCTGTTAATTGTGACATATTGTACACATGTCTAATAATATAAAGTAATGAAGTGACGATATACTCAAAAGTCACTCTCGAGAGATATGAATGGAAACTGCAGTTTCACTGTTTGGTAGAATTGTAAAACTGTGAGGCTGTTTTGCTTTTTCCTCCTAATCAGGACCTTTTAACGTCATGTTTTGCTTTCTTTGTTTAGCCTCTGATGGACAACTTGGAGTCTCAGACATACGAAGTGTTCGAGAAGGATCCTATTAAGTATTCACAGTACCAACAAGTAAGACAGTCAGACATTTTTTTGGGGGTATGAGGAGGCATGGCACAGATGTTACAGAAAGGTCTTTGCTTGTCCAGTAGACATACAAATGCAGTAAAACAGACTTTACTTGGGCAGACTGTTCAGATATGCAAGTGCATTTGTTTTTATGCATCACAGAGAACACGGCTAGCTGTGATTAATTTTATTAGTGGACAGTCCCTTTGCGCTTATTTTGAAAATTCAGTTCCTGGCTCATGTTTCCTTAGTGGATGGTATCAGTTTTCAATATTGGTCAGTTGCTTTTTACCTATGAGCTTGTATTTATTATCCATCTGTCCATTTTCTTGGAAAGCCCTGATCCAGCCAGTGGACTTGGACCCAGAACATTCTTACTGTGAAGCAACTGTGTTCACCACCGCACCAC